AATGTCCTTAAAATTCCTTTCATGAAGAAATCTGCAGAATATGTGGAGGCAATAGGTTAGGATAGTTGGGATAATTCCTCCTGTATCATGCCTTGCTTCTTCATTCTGTTTGCACCAAAGATGGGTATATAAGGTTGGAGCTCAGCAGGCACATTTTGCTGTGATCTGATTTTAAACTTGCCTCTGAGCTGCTCAGATACTAGCTGCTGTTCATATCACAGCTGATCATCCATTAGCAGGGGCAACTGTGGAGCTTTCTGGTCCTTTCCCACTCACCTCTGGGATTTACAGTGAGTGAGGCTGGGCTCAGATTTTTACTGAGACTTTTTTCTTAGATTTTTTTTAGAGGGTTCTCTCCAGCAGCTTATTCTGATTCTGCAAAGGGATGAAGGATGTCCCAGACCATTTTGAATCATGTCCTATGGCTCTAAACTTTGATGGTCCTGTCTCCATGGATCTTGTGGGGACACGGTACATAGCATCCATGAAAGTCTCATTTTGCTTTAAATACGGCCACACTTGTCTTCATCTTCTTCTTAACAGTATGTATTCTGAGTGTAACATCTTAGACTTCCCAAGAGAGTTTTTAAGGAAGATGAAATCTAAATTTGCAGCTAAACAACAGATATTGTGTGACACGTACCACCTCCTTCCTTCATGTATTCACAAAGATGCTCAAACAGTTGTATATAGGAGGATCTAACAAAATGCACCTTGAAAAGTCATTCACACTGCTCAGAGCAATTCTAGGTAGGCAGAAAATAGAAGCAGATTTGAGAAACCACTTGGTGAAGCAGGTTTTTACAACTCAACTTGAAATGTGGTATAGGGCTTTGCTTTACTTTTATTTGTGAAGGCTTGGTGCATGCAGCCTGTGCCTGTTCTCACCTGTCCATTCACTGAATCCCTATTGCTTGGTAATAAGAACCATATCTTACGCTTATAAACATTGCAAGTCTTGAGATAACTTCCTTCCAAATTCCCTGAAGCCTCATCTAAAATGGTTCAGCTGTTACCCCTTACACAAGTGCAGTATTTATTGACATTTTTTCTTGTTCTTTGCAATCTACATTCAAAATCACACCAGCCAGCACATCCAGCAGGGTAAAGCAAAGGTCTGTGCACAGATTGTTATACAACCCAAACAGTTCTCTGTTTTGTGAAGGTCATTTAAAAACGAGGACTGAATAAGAGAAGTAAAAACACAAGGAAACTACAGGATGTGATTCATAAAAATCCCACATCTCCTCTATATGCTCATACAGTCTCCTTTGAATAAATAAATAAAAGCTTTTGTTGTTTAGCAATGTTCCAGTAAGTAACACACAAGCCAGAGAACAAGCAAGCTCAAAACAATGAGCTAAAATTAGAAGAGGCAGATTCAGCATCTGAAGTCACAAATACACACTAACTTTATAATGTGAAGGCATCTGGAAGAAATATAGTCACATGGACAGTCTGGGTGCTGGCATAAGGACTGTAGCTCTGAAGATTTTTCCATCAGCTACAAGCTCTTCGTGGATGCTTCAACAACACTTTTAATCCTATCTGTGAAAAGAGGCAATGACTGGCCTGCTTCTGTGGCTGTTGTGAGTATGAAACCCTGAATGTTTACAAGGATCTTGGATTTTCGTGTTGAGTGCCACTGAAATAAAATTATTTCTTCAAACCACTCAGCTCATTAAAACTTTTTTCTCAAAGATTTTTCAGCTAACTTTTTTTAAAAAAAAAAGTTCTGTACAACAGATGCTTGCTAGCCATGATCAGTCCTTAGCAGACCTTACCAGCCCTTACATTGCCATAGAAATCATATAAGACATGTTCAGCAGCAGCAAGAAGCAGCATGTTCTACTAAGAGTCCGTGACCAGGACCGCTCTTCCATGATGTGCCATCAAGCAAAGGGAGGGTTACTTACCCCTACAGTGGAGAAAAGGACAGCAACCATGGCTATGGACAAATTTTGATCTTACAAAGAGGATTCAGATGAAGCTGTCTAATCCCATTCTAGATTTACATTTCTGGTTCAGGAACAGGCTCTAAAGCAGATAACATGGGCTATCGTAGGTCAACAAAGATGGAAAGATTTCATTGCAAGACAATATTACACTGTAATGATGATTTTCATGAAATAATTTGTTGGACATTTTAAAGGAGAACTGGATTACATATATTCATTTTTGAAGTTTTTCAGCACTTTTTTCTTTTTACAGATGTTGCTGCAGCTGTTAAATTACGTACTTGACTTCCAGTACGAACCCAAACACCCACTCCAGGCAGTAATGCTAAAGGAACCAGGACTGGTTCTCCCTGGGTCAGGTGTCAGAGCTGCTACACATCAGATGTAGTGGCAGACAACACACATTTACATTTCAGCTAACATAAGATGTAGTTCTATAACATGATTTTGAATGGAGAAGGAAAGGCAGCTGAGAATTAGAGAAATCAAGGATTGTTTTTGGATTTGTTTTGTATCAGTTGTTACTTTTCCTGCCATATTCGGTAGGTAGAACAAAGAATCATCCAATTTATCCCTGCTTGTAGGTCAGATTAATTTTAACAGGACTAGATTAAGTATAGACTAGATACTAGATTGTCTAGAGATGTTCCAGTAAGGTTTTCAAGACTAGATTACCTAAAATAGAGCAAAAAATGTTAGACTTTCAGAGGTTGTGTTACCTAACACAGCCAAAGTTGAAGAGCAGAATTTAGACAATGAATAGAAAGAAGAGAGAAAAAAAGTATTGCAAATTATGGCAGTTATCTTCCTACTCTTTGTTGCTGTGTAGAGTCTGGCAGAATTGCATGCAGTTAGGCTGGGCTACTGTCATAGCTAGTGTAGATATTCTGAATATGCAAAGCAAACCTGTACTGCCTTGGGGCAACATAAATATTTGTAATGTATGCTTTTACCCTGATTGATAGATTGACTGGGGGTTTTTTTGACAGCAACTAATAACTTTATCACTGAATAATCTTTAATTAAATTAGATAGCTAAAGAGCGATAGCGTCCAAATGCTACAACCATCTGAATGGTGTAAAATCATGTTGTTTGTACATAAAATATACCACAAGAGAGGTAATTTAGGATCTTATGAGGAATGTTCTATTCAGTTATTAACAATCTATGAAGACATTCATGCAACAGCCCTAACAGGCTGGGTATTTTTCAGTGATATGTGGACAGAGAAGTTCAGCCAGAAGCAGAATACAAGCTAAGAATATAATTTTTTCACAAAATCCTGGATCCATGCCCTTACTCAGCTTCTAGTAAAGTAGAGAATTTCATTTTGGGTTTTCGTTGAACCTGTTCCCTTTTTATAGGCAAACCCAGAAAAGGAATTATGAACAAGAATTATGAAACCTTTTTTTACAAGTCTCCAGGAGGCCTATATGAATAAAGTACTGTACCTGGGCACCGTGACAGGAAAGGTGAAAACTAAACTTTTCTCTTTAAAAAGAAACAAACAAATAAACAAAAAGTACTTTTAGCATACCAAAACCAAACTCCACAATTTTAATATCCTTCTCCTTCTATTTGTCAAGGAAAAGAGAAGGAAATAAGGCAGAAGAGTAGTGGCTCAGCACATGTTCACTCAGCTTTATCTCATTACTTACCCTTTCTGACAAAGAGCCATCCAACTCCTGCTACTCTTTTTAGAGCTGCCAATGGAAAAAAAGATTTTTCCTGGGGAGGAGGATCTCCAGGGGAAACAGTGAAAAAACATGAGAGGAGGAATCTGAAAGAATTCACTCCCACCCATCTACAGGAGATTCCTAGAAGCATTGTTAGTCTGAAGGTTTAAAAAAAACCACTCCACTTCTCAAAGGCAAGGTTAATTCTGGCAGGTTGATTTTAAAGCAGCAATGGTGTCTAGCTGGAATCTCTCACAAGGTTGGAATGTTAGAAGTAGACCCAGGAGAGAGGATTTAATGTACAAAATGCAGGTGAGGCAGCCAGAAAGACATGATGAATGCAATTTATCACAGGGCTCTGCAATTTATCACAATGGAATCACAGGAAACAAGAAAAACAGAGAACTAGATAGATAGACTGGATAGATTGAGATTCTCTGTGCATGGAACTTCTTTGAAATATGCCAAGAAAGTTGCATGTTACATGTTCAGATTTTCAAATAGAATTTTATTGATGGAATAGAGCTGTGTCTTTCTAGGTTTGGGGTCCTTTTACCCAGGAGAGAAAAAGATGTGTTATTCTGAAGAATGAAAAAAAGCTAAAATTATAGGATGCTGTTTTGCTTCACTTTGGTTTTAATCCCCTTCTGGAGCAGCACTGGATACATGCCAGGAGGTAGGGATTTCCATGTGCAAACAAAGAGCCTGTACTTCCCAGCTACCCTCCTCTCTGCTCCGTTTCCAAGCTCAGGTGCGCGAAGGTCCACACACAGAAGCAATTTCAATCTGCGAGCTACTTTTGACAATGTGCAAGTGATCAAAATGTGCTCACAGCAAACACACTCCTTCCTCACTCCCCTGCTTTTGTGGGTGCCTTTCTCAAAACAGGTCTGTTCTATCAAGGTAACAACTCTGAGTTTTACGGCAGCAGTGCCGGAGCAATACCGCGGCCCAGAGCATTGCTGCAGAGTGCTGGGTATTCCCCACCGCCCACAAAGTAGGGCCTTGCAGCTTTCAAAACACTGCATGTACTATTTAAATTGCTTCACTGGGAGGAGAATTATGTGTTCTGCAACGCCTCAGGACAATGAGCCAAAGGAACTATAGAATATGAGCTTGGTGTTAGAGCCGGAGCTCTGCAATGCTCTGCTCTGTGTGTGTTTTAGCCTGCTATGTAACATTACTTTTACATTAACATTTGTGGTTCCTTTTTTATGCACTCCAGCTTCACCATACTTCCCCCTTTATATTTTAACAGTCAGAATCCTATGATCCAACCAGGGTGGTATGTTCAAAGCTCCACTTTTTTGCACTGATTAAAAAGTAAAACAGGCAAAAAAAAACTCCTCAGAGTATTGAACGAGCTTACTTCAAATAGCTTTTATTGACACTAGGACAAGACTATAGCCAAAGAATTATACAAAACACAAAACAAAAGGGATTTTAACAACTTGGTTGAAGACTAATTCACGCCAATCCAATGCTCATATATCTATAATCAACAAAGTTCTGGAGCACAATATTACTTAACATTACTCATTGGATACTTGCAGATACAAAAATGTATCAGGAATAGTAACAATGGTTCCTTTTACTCTTATGGAAATATTACTATTGACCTTTAAAAATGTTGCCCTTTGGGTCAGTCCCACTGATGCTTTATCCCTTAGAATCTGCTCTGCCTGGAAAGACAAATTACAGAAAAACTTTCAGAGCTCTGAGCAAAAGGACTGTTTTTTATCATGGAAACAGATAGCAACATCAATTTCCCAAGGAAAAAATAGACATTTCAGCTGTGTATCCCTAGACCAAAAAGTCGGTCTTGTAAAAACCCATGGCAGTAAGCTTGCTTTGAAAGCCTCAGTTATGACTTCACCAGGTATTGCTTTATGCTTTCCTACTGCATTCTAACTTGGAATATTAAGCCAATCATAAAATTTAAAATAGCGGTAAACTAAGCAGCAAGAGACATGAGTATGAACCTGTTCCCTTAACACATGACACATACGTGCTCATGGGGCCAGTACAATAGATCCAGAAGAGGCAATTTTCTCTCAGGCAGACTCTTTTAGGAGCAGAACTGGCACTCTCTACCAGAAAAAGGTATGTGTGGGCAAGCTCAAACCTTTTACCTGGGCTTTTTGTACAGTTTCATGTGGCTGAGTGCAGAGTTCGGGTGCCTCCTCTAGCTGCCTCTCAAATATTACCCAAAGGCTGTTAAAAGAGGGATTTAAGAGGTCTTTGAATCAGGACATCCTACAGCTCTGCTATTGCAAATGTGCCTCTGGCCATGCAGGTGTACCACCAAAAGGGGGAATGTGTGGAGATCTTGGTACAGAATCCCTCTGACCACACAGTACCAGTGCCACTGCTTGCATGCATCACTTGTCTTTAGACCATCCCCACAGAAACATGTCTGTCATAAATCACAGCCCTTACAAATGACAGCCCAACTCACAGTGCACTAATTGACATCCAAAGAAGAGCACCTTTGATGGCACGGAACGATTTCTATTTTGCTGTAATCTATGCTAACATGCTGAAACACAGAGCATGGCACTGGAGCAGGATGAAGGATTGTGCAGAAGAGACATAACTGAGAGTTCCTGGAACATCCATCCTTTTTGGTCTTCACTTTCTGTAGTGTGTGATACACAAATGATTAGAACTGAGCTAGTAACAAGATCTCATGGGACAAAACCCTTTCGGATCAAGTGAAAAAATGACATTGTTAAAATCAAAATGGGTTTCTTTTGAGGTTAGAGAGGAATGTAAGTTTCACAATTTCTTTTTTTAACAGTCAGCAGACAGCCAGCTAAATAGTACTGTTAAAATACTGCTGCAGTTTGGATCTGTTACAAAAATGAAACATTTAATCGCTGCAAGAAGTGACAAAGATAAGCGATTCTCATTCCCACACCAAGGGCAGGGGAATCTGTCAGAAAACAGACTTCTTTCAGATGGTTTTCTATGTGTTACAAGGGTGAATTAATTACAGGTACAAAAACAAAGCAAGTGACATGACAAAGAAAGATCTTAAATTTAGAACCCAAACTTCTTCAAATCCAGGATGAAAAGCAAGTAGCAGAAACTTGATTTAAAAGAGGTTCTTTTCTGGCAGGTTCCACACACCACATCCCCCCTCCCCAGGTACATATTCCATTTTACTTCCATATGGAGTCTGTAAAAAAAAAAAAAAAAAAAGTACAATGGTTCACAAAGCCCTATTGTGACCTTTAAAAATAAAACAACCATGCACTGTATGCTTCTGGAAAGGCCACTACTGAGAAAAAAAAAAAAATTAATTCCCCTATCAGTCATGTTATGAAGTGTCTGCTGCAGGTTGAGAACTTCTTGGGCAAGCTGCTGCTGCTACTGCTTAGGAGAGAAAATAGCCCAGCCAGGTTCACATCTGCATGAGTGTGGGCATGCTGGTGTGAAGGAGCAGCATTTCCCAAAGAATAAATGCTTGCTGAGAACTTCCTTGCCCCTGCAAGCTAATAGGAGTTAGTTGTTTTACAGCCATCAGCTCCTTTGGAAAAGTTCCCTCTAATTCTTCGTCCCAGACACATTGCCCCGAAAGTGTCCTGCTGTCTGTCTACAAAAATTAGTCAGTCTCTACATTCTTGTGCTCTACAAGACCTCTGGTGTTGGCTACAGCAAAACCTTTCTAATATTTCATTTCTGGTTATGACTCTCCACTTTTCAGAGAGGCTGCACTTAGATAAGACACCAACTAAAATACCATATACTCTAGAGAGGGGATTGTTTTGCCACTTATATTCAGCCTGCAGCAAGTTGTTGACTTTTTTTTGCAAAGCAAAGGCTTAGCCATCTTTATTTGCATAACATTTTCTGTTTCTTTTATGATGTTTATTTAAGATAGCTTAATGATTTTACTTTTCTTAGATTTAGTTGCTTGGAATTAGTTGCTTCATTTGCACTGAAAGAAAATTAGGAAGGTACATGATTAAACAAAGGGAATAATTCTGTCATCTTTACACTGGCAAAATTCCCATGAACTTTGATTACCCACTAGAAACGTTGCCTGAAAAGAGATCATATAATCAAGCTGCAAATTATATTAAAACCAAATGAGCATATACACAATTCCTCCACAGAGTCCAAAAATGAAGTGCAAGACACTCAAGAAGGTTTCAGCAGTTCTGAGATTTGCTGTTCATCACTGTTCTTACTCCAATCTACATAAGAACCTTAAGCTGGATAAAAATCATTCTTTTCTTGATCTCTTGAGTCACATCTCTTTTTAGTTTTCAGTTTGTACTATGAACTGAAGGACCTAAAAATACAAGAAAGGTACTAGAAAAGCATAGTAATACAAGAAAAGCTCCACTGAGCTTAATACTTAGTTCCTGATGCTAAAGAAGAAAATGAATGGGAGCAAGCACATTAGTGGGACTTGCTGCTGAGGCATCTCTTTCTGGTCATTGCTGACCAGCACAGGAGCAGAGCACAAATTACCTCAGGATTCCCCCATAAGGCAAAGATTTGCTGCCAATGGCAGTGGCAGCCTGGGGGGGAGGCTGTCCTTCTGCCTGCCTTCAGCCCTCGTACCACCAGCACCAGAGGGTCCCCTGGCTCCAAGAGCTCCCTGCCACCTCCTCAGCTCCACCTTCCCCATGGAATCACACACTGAAACCAGCCTTATCCCATCTTGTTTATGCATTTCAGCTCAGTTTTAGATGCAATCTAAGCTCAGACATAGGTATTTTGGCAGCAAACTTGAAATATCTGGGATTGAATTTTCAGACGTGTCAATCTCTATGGACTAGTGGGAAAGGTCTGTGGGACACATGAGACTTTGATGTCTCTTCAGAAATCTGAATTTTTACATTTGAAACACACAATTCATGCATCCTTCTGAAATTCTTGCAAACTGTTGTCGAATCCAGTTTAAACTGGGCATTTTTAAGAGTGTCTATGTGAATATTTCCCTAGAACTATGACTAAAATTGCTGGAAGATATTTTAACTCCAGTCCATGGGGAGCTATTGACGGTAATAAAAAATACTGTGAGAAGAAAACAGCAGCAAGTGAAACTGCCCTCTCAGAAAGCCCAGGTCCGCTTTGAAGGAAGTGTTGACATTCACCATAAGACTCAATCATTTCCCAGAGGGCCGTAAGATGCCTTGGAATGACATAATCAAAAAGCAATGGTGCTCTTGACTTAAAAGAGTAAAGAAAAGCAGGGCCTGATCCATCTCCCATCATCAAATCAAAGAGGAGTTTGCTGTTGACTTCAGTCAGAACAGAGTTCTGGACACAATCTGTGTGCAGTTTATTAGCACACTTGTTTATCCAAACGATCCTAACTTCAACCAACGGCATGTCTAGATATCTTCCTGGGACTGCATCTGTACAAACGTGTAAGTGTGAGTTTATAATGTGGTTTAATTCAAATTATTCTGGCACTTTAAAAGCATTCCCAGCTAAAAAAGGCAGCTTTAGCTGATTTGCACCCCAGAAGACAGACTTTGATTGGAAAAGCTTGTAACTCATATTTCAGGTTGCAATTCATATACAAGTTCATACAATCTAAGGACACAAACAGATTTTAGGATTAATTTTAAAATGATGTTACCATTCACTCAATTAAAATTTTGCAGCCATGATTTCAAGATGTGAAAAGCTCTACAAATTACCCAACTCATCAGCTACAGCCCTGGGTTTCCTTGAAGGGAAATTTCTCTGATGACCATAACAAAATCACAGTAAATGGCAAGTAAGATTGCCATCAGGAGTCTGCTGAAAATGCAGGAGGAGCTCCTGATTGCTTTAGTCATGTGAACAACCCCTTCAGAACAGCCCAGAGTCAGGCAAGGTGGCTTACACCAGGAGTTAATTTAGCCTGCTGGGACTCCTTGCATTACTAAAACGAGCATGGTTTCGGCTTGTAAATGGGGGGTAGAATTTTATTTCACTTTCTGAGGGCCAGAATTTTATTTCCCTTTCTGAGGGGCATACATTCATTTCAGAGTAAACCTTTCAGAATAAAAGTTTACTTCACATTATAGGAAATGACATCCCTTTTTTTAGATTTCCCTTTTCAAAGCATGCCTCAGATTTCTAACTTGTCGTGGAGAGCTTTGGTATAAGTAATAAAAGTCTTTAAAATTAAAATGCTAATCGTAAACAAACCCAAATGCATGAAAGATATAGTCTGACTGCATAACAAAAGAGAATTATATAATTCTATTTGAGTGAAATCTTTCATCTTTGATTTACAGGTTTGAGTCTGCCTATAACTGAAACCATATTGTTCCATATCTTTCATATCATGGCCTTCCCCAAAATCTTGTTTTAATTAAGGTTCCTTTCAGATTTCAGAATAAAAAGCATGACAGTCTTCACTTATGGCTTTAATATATATCCTTTTTTTTTTTTTTTTTTTTTTTGAATTTGGAAAATACATAAAAAAAGAACATTGCTTGCTTTTAAAAGCCGAGCAAGCTATCAAATACTGCAAGCTGAATACTTCAAGGTATCTCCTGGGGTTCATTAGGTGAGAAAGTTGTAAACAAAATAAAAGTTACTGTAGCAGAGTTTTGTTCATTTGAAGTACTCTTACATACATGCCCCATCTCTCTCTCTCTCTCTGACAGTAAGGCAACACGTGTAACAGTTTAAGCGTTCATTTTCATCTAAAGGCACAACTCTATGTTACGTTCTCAAACATGGAATTAAACAGCTAAAGTCACATTGCAGGGAGATCTTGCTGCACTTCGGGGATCTAAAATAAAGCCTAAACCCTTTGAAGCTTCTTAAGCAACATCAGTTCTCTTGGTGCAGGACTACATAAAAGAATCAGTTCGTATTCACATCACGACCTGTAAAAAACACTCCCACACAACCTCCACAGAAACACCTGAGCTTCAAATGAGCTGCACGCAGTTACTGAAGGTCGCTGCTTTGGAGTCAGAACGCAGAAACATTTCAGAACAAACTAAAAACACATTTGAAAAACTACCCATACTTGATCTCTGCTGCACATATGGTGAGCGCTACTGTCAACTACAGAGGGTACAGCACATTTTCTTAAAGGCAAAAGATCGTTTTAGAGAATCGTGAATGTGTTTTTATAATAGAAAAGATTACATGAAATGGGGAGGGATGGCCAGGAATAGTGAAAAAAAAATAAAGCACCACCAAGCACAGTACTTCAGGGGATTTATAGTACAATAAGAAGTGCTTTCCCTTTAGCTAAAATCCCTCATCATAATTTGAACACTTTTCACTTATTCAGCTAAGAATTCATTGCAGGAGGTTAAAAAATGGCACGTAAAATAAGGGTGGGTTTGTTTTTTGTTTTTTTTTCTTCATTACACAGAGCAAAGAAAACAAATTCTATTAACAATTTAACACAGTATGAAAAAAATTATCCAGTAAAAAGTGTCAGAAAGTGATTCACGGAGTTCACAGAGTATGTTGCTGGCTGTTGCAATTCTTATATCTATAATCTATCATGTAGAATTTTGCAATACTCTATTTCACAATTTGTGTTGGTGAGTGGGTCAAACAGCATTAAAAAAGCATGCTCTAGGCTCTTTCCCCCAAGTCCATTTTACTGTAACTCTAGAATTGTGGCGGTTACATTTAAGGAATCTTTCGGGCTCTTTCAAGTCCATCCAAAGAACAAGTGAAGCTGCTATTCCGAGTTTTGTGCCCAGTGTTTATGCTCCATCTGATCTGTGCCACCCAAGAAGCAGACAAGACATGTCTGAGGGTGCTTTGGGGAATACACAATGATGTCACCCACAGGAAATATCAGGGAGGACTTGGCACTTCACAAGGCTGGCTCTTCTTCCATGGGCTCACCAGCAGCTCTGTAAAAATAAACAGGCAATCAGAATACGGCACAAGAGTACACAATGACATTGTAGATTTTCATGCATAATCAAAGCTGATTTTTCAGCTCTCTCAGATGTTTATTTGTGTTATTCAGCTATCCATAAATAGAGTTTCTTTCCTAGGAAGTATAAACAAATGTCAAGTGGAAAAACATTTTAGATCCAAGCAATCACCGAAAATGTTCCTGTTTATATTAAAATATGTCAGAATATTTTATAACATTTTGTCCAGAAATGTACATGCTTTGTGTCAACAGCATCAAATAATTTAATGAAAAAAATAGCTGTGATACTTTTATTTTACAAGCTTTTGCAACTAAAAATACATGCATTTATTTTTTTTCAAGCTGGCCCACACCATTAAAGCAAAATAGTTCACTAGTAGCCAAGTAGTGCTCCCTCTGAAGTTCTTCTCCAGACTCCTAGTTTTTGATTTTGTGTTTTCATAAGCATATTGCCTGCCTGCAACTTTTGAGACTAAATCCTGAACCTGATCAGCAGATTGCTATCGAAGAAAAAGTATCTGTTAATTATATCAAATCAGATTATATATATATATATATAATACCTTTTATATGATAACCTCTGGGAAGTTATCAGCTTAGGCAAGAAGAACTCTCTAAGACTACCAATAAGAAAATGATGAAGACACAAACGCTGAATTGATGTCAAGTCTTGCAATTCCTCGTATCTGACAAGTTACTGCACCTGAGGAATGTGATGGCAATTATAAGATGGGAAGCTTCTGAGATCATGGAGAGACCTCACTATTGAAGGCCAAAGAATTTGGACAGAAACCATTTTTTAGCTCAGTCGTCAGCCTTAAGAAATACTTTAAAATAGTAACCTCAAGCAATTTTGAAATCAGGGGAGAAATGTAAATGTAAATTAATAAACGAGATGTTTACCAGTTAATTCTTGTAAGCCTGTGTAATAACTTCAGCAAAACATGCCTCAGAAAGTATAATTTTATAAATTCGTGAGATCCCATGGAAAAAAAGTAATTAATGGGGGCTTGCTTGGCCTTTGATAGTTTATTCAGCAAGGAAGCCAGAGAATTTTAACTGAATCTGGAATTTATTAAGGTCTTTCCCAATGAAAATATCAGCAGTATATCTTTAAATTGTTTTATACAGGTTATTCCTTTATGATTTCGAGTGATCACTGATAGTATGTTGAAAAACATGTCAGGTGAATGACACGTGAAAAAGATGATGTTTCTCAGACTAATCACTTTCCAAAAGGTATTGACTCTAAAAGATGATTAATCTATAAATCTAAAATACTTAGTTTCTCACCACATGGTGGAGGATGTTTCTTATGTGCAGTAACCACTGTGGCTCTCATTGCTGAGGAATGAGGTGAAGCCCCCTTGCACTGCCTCTTTTCCCCCCTTGCAGCAGAGCACGCAGTAGCAGCCAGGGCGAGGTGGAGCTCTGCCTGCTGCTGAGGCCCTCAGGTGTAACAAAGGATCCCACACCAGGTGAGGAATTCATTCTGATGGTGTGGGCTGCTGTTGTGCTGACCACACACTTCCACCTTCTCCAGCCACTTGTGGGAGACCTGAAAGTCCTCTGGCATAACACAGAGGGTCAGTAAGCCCTTGTTAAACATCCAGAACCTGGTGGCTCTGTCTGGAAAGAAGATAATTTGGAAGCAGATGACAGTTCAATTTTTAGGTTCTGCAAATGAGAAACAATATGGGTCAATAGATTTCAGGTGGTGATTGGCAGATCAGGAAGGAATGAAGCTCTGGAAGTGAGAGCAGGGGTTTGGACTATTCATAAGAACCTAGGAAAGCAGTACAGGCACCAGTCTGTACACATGTGTTTGACTTCTGGGACTGACACTCTCATGAACATAGTACAATTGAGGAACTTATTTAGGACTTCTTTCACTGGGAAATTTTTCACTGACAAAGGTGCTTTTGAGGTGATCTTGAGTGCTATATTCTAATATATTATACTCCAGTATATTCCAAAAACAGGCCAACATTCCTCACCAGCCAGAGCATAAGCACCTAATAATAATTTTTATATGTAAGTGCCAGATGCAAGGTTCTTTTTAGGAAAGGGAGATAAGGTTAGTGCACCATGGCAATCCAGCTGTTGTCTCACAGTGTGGGTACTCTCACAGTCTCCTTTTGAAGACTTATGTGTATGCTTTAACTTCATTTTATTAGTGTCAGAGAAGTCACTGGATTTATCCAATGGTTTACCATTAAGAACATTCATTTTTATGAGATAACAGCTCAGGCTAGAGTTTTGTGAGAGAATCAGTACTGTTTTGGAGCCAAAGGACAGAGAGAAAAACATTTTAAGCCCCATAGCACTGAACAGAGAATCAATATATACCCATTCTGACAAAATCAAAAGCTGTCAAAAGAAAAATCCAGGGGGCAGAGTCTGACAGGCCAAATTTGTGTTACTTCAGCTTTGTCACTGTGAGTTACGTCAGTTCAGTCAGTCTTCCTGTAGCTGACGGGAAGTTGGCATAAAAACATAAAACAGGCAGAACCCCCCATCCCATACTGTATGCTCTGAGCAGTTCCTTGAGCTGCAGCTGTGAGCTCAGGTCTGATCTAAACCATTTCCATGCAGTCAGCAAATTCAGAAGGACACCAGTTGAGATTGTCATGGTTATAGAACCACAACTGTGATTTTTCTCTAAGGCTTCACTGTGGCTCATTTAAACTCCTAGGACTCCTAGGAGCCGAGCCCTCCTGCATTCACTTTACTTAGGTGTGCTGTGAAGAGTGCTCATCTTTAGCTCTCTATATGTAGAATTCTGAACGAAATAATCTCCTTGCAGTTAACGCTAAACAAAATGATGCTGCTTAAACCTTCCAAAAAAAAAAAAAATAGATGAGGCAAAAATCCTACCACATGGATAAAATCTGGCAAAACACGTGAATTTTAAATATTGTTTTGTGGCTATTGAGAAAAAATATTATTTATGGGAAAATTTTTAAAAGTAATTAATATCTACAATTTTAAAAAAGGTAGTATTTAGGAATGTAGATAAACTCAGTACATCACGCAAAAAAAAAGAAAATGTTTGTCTTACCTTATTTTTCAAATGAGAATTACAGTGATTCCTCTTAGCTACAGTATCACACACACAAAAATAAAAATTCAAAGTATGATTCCAAGGTAGAAACTGCTGAACAAAAGATAGATTTTTTCTGGCATGGTATGGCTGTTTTATGCCATAATCTGTTCTTAATTTAACTCATCTGTCCCAGGGAAGATCGTTGTAATTGAAAAGTGATCCTCTAGTAGCAAAGAGCTAGGGAAAAAGAGGTACATTTCTATATCATGAAGGTGATTTGGGGAGTGTCTAAAGACATTATATAAGACATCCTGAGTAAGTGTATATCCTAGTAAAAATGGACTTAGTATGGATCAAAGAGAAAGGAACTAAAAGTAAAAGCCATTCTAGTTTAAGAGCAGAATAAGATAACTCCGTGTATACTCTCAAAAGAGGAAGTAATATCCAAACAAGGTAAATTAAATAAAATATAAACTCTGGCAAGTTAAATGCAAACTCCCAATGAAGCAAACTAAAGGAAAGTCTGAAGAGCAACATATTAAAGGCATAAAAGCTAATAATAAAAAGATCTTTCAAAATACATCAGAGGAAATGATCAAAGCATAAAAGGAGCATCAAGGAAGGTAGACCACAAAAGCAAAATGAACTATTTATATCTGGGTTCACTAGAGAAGTGTCAGTGAGATTTTATTACTTGCAGATGAACTATCCTAAACTGAATCAGTGCTAGAACAGATACACCAAACATTGCCAAATTTCTAAGAGCAGATGATTTTTGTCTGCTAAGTTCCAGGGAAATACGATTAGGATGTTGTTAAAGGAATAGATATTGAGCATATTCTACAGCTTAACTCAGCAAGAGGTAGAGAAGGCAAGAAAAGCAGTTCCCCTTTTGGAAACCACAGGAGGTACAGTAAGCCTGTATGGCAAAATTGAAAGCAGCTACAATCACTGATGGAATTAGTAAGCATTTAGGTAACAGTCATTTGGGTAAGAGTCAGGTCTTAACACTTACAAAAGATGGCAATCCTTTCAAATTTACTAGAAGTTTATGAAGGAAGTTAGGGAAGAGGGATCAAGTGATTTCCCTCTGCAAAGAAGGTCTTCCAACAATTTTATCCAAGTGCTCAGAAGAACCTAGGCTGTTGGGAGAAGGTCCTTTCACAGATTAACAATACATCAGAAGCAGGATACGCATAATAATATCAGTGAATTTTCACCATGGAGGAATTCTCCTAGTCCAAAAGACTAGGCAGTCTACAAGTAGATTTAGGTGATAATGTTTGCTGATGATGCCAAATTGCCCATACTACTCAGCTGTAAGACCCATAACAGCATTTCTGTATGGAGAACAAGGCAAAAAACACAAATACAGAAAACACAAAACGTGGGAAGACAGCTTTAACTGTTTTAACAGTGATGGCTATGACTGAGAGCTTAGAGTTAATGGCAGAGGAGCAGAAAGCCACAGAAACAAAACATCTCCAGTATTAACTCCTGTGCAAATTCACAATGTGCCCAGCACCTGGAGTCCTGCATGCAGCTTTTACTCCATCTCAAAGAAACTACAAAAAGCACAGAGAGGAGCAAAAATCATCAAAGGTAAGAAATTATTTTCATAGCAGAAGGAATACAGAGTCTTGAGAAACTCCAGCCTTTAAAACCAGAAATGGATCAAAGATTATGACTAAGAAAAGAGGGGGTTTTCTTTCTCACAATACAAGACCTAGGGCTTTCCCAGTGATTTTATTGGTTAATAAGTAAAAACAGAGTGATGCCTGATGAGGCTGTGGGATTCACTACCCAAGTGCCAGAGGCATAAACTGGTTCAAAAAGGTTTTGAAAAGTTTACACCTGTGTATGTATCCTCGAGGCTTTTACACAGGGTGGGTTGGACACAGCAGTTGGGATTTATCAACTCACCAGGGCAAGGCTGGTTTTCAACCCAGTCTTCTCCTGGTTCTCCTCCTTATGTACCCACCACCAAGGATGAGAAGAAGGTGGGCAAGACAAGGGTGCAGGTGGGTGCAGGCTGACCTGAGAAAGCTGTCCTGCAGCTCCTGAGCCTGAAGGGGATTGTAAGCCCTGTGGGGTATGGCAAGGTATGTGCTGTGTACTCAGCACAGCAGAGGCAGATATCCAAACAGTGAAATGCCAAGTGGAGCTTTATGAATTAATAGACAAATATGGCAAGTGACCCTAAATGGCAGCTAGCTGTACCCCATGATTCACACATTTGCTCTCATTTGCAATTTGATTGAAACTGCAACTGGTAGCTCTGTAACACTAAGAGTAAAAATTATACTTTGTTTTCATTTCCATTTGAGTAAAATCTATGCTCAGATGAACCAGAGCCATAGATCAAGTCAAATAAGTCAAATTCTGATAAATGTCATTCTCAAGATTTACTGCTTCCTGTAAATATAGTAAGTGCAAGATATCTCCCTCCACACCCTTTTCTTTTTCCATTTTAAGAAGAAACATACAGAAGCTCCAAGGTATCAGGGACAGCAGCATACTGAATATTTTCACAGCACGATTTCTGAAACAGATGTCTGGCCAAAGCAAAATTCTAATCAGCTAAATCTGTATCTCACACAGGGAAGAGTTATCAACACACAAAAGTTCTGGTAGTTAGAAATGTTTTATAGGGCATGCCTGTTCCTTTAATTGCATCTCTCTTCAAATCCCCATTAGCACCATACATGTTTCCTCTCCTATACACAAACTCTTTTTTTTCTATGGCTGTACTCTTCCAAAGTCTATAATCAAGATTCAATTGGATCTTAAAATGCAGAGTTACGCTTTGGTAAAATAAAACACCAAAAGCGTAGCAGCTTTTCACGTTTTTCTTCATTTACCCTGCCAGAGAAAATCAAGTAAAAAAATAATCGGCACTGTCACTTGAAGAAAAGAAAGAAAGAGAGAAGAAAGAAATAAAAATACTTAATATGGGCTTTAGCCAGGAGCATTTTATCCATCAGTGGTAAATGAGTCAGATATGAGTTGGCCAGGAAAAGAGCTGCTTTACCCAAAATCTGAGTTTAAAATGAGTCATCTCACTCCAACACCAATATATCCTCCAACATAACTGGCCAGAGTTTCCCGCAAAGAGACTCTTGCTGCTGCTCTTCATCTGGAGGCCTGACTATCCAGAGCTGAAGTCGACAGGATCTCTTCCATTGAATCAGTGAAACAGGCTTGGAGTTGCAGGCCAGAACTATCAGCCTGGCTGACCGTGGTGGGAATTAAGAGGAAGCAAAATGACTCCTGGTGTAATGAAGGAACCCTTCAGGCTGCCCCATCAGCTACGGTGCTTCCTGTTCTGCTCCCACCCTACCTGTGGCAAACAACTTTCCCAAATGAACACTCAATGCAAAAGCTTGCAGCAGGTCTTTGGAAGGTGTCCCCTCTATAGCAATAGGAGGAAGGGCACACCTTCTAACAGAACTTGAGACCCCACACGACTCCTCACATCCCTGCTGCCCTCTGTTTGCCACAGGAAGTGGCTGGAGAAGGGGCATTGCATGCATGGTTCTTTATTACACGCATTAAAAAATGAAATAGCAAAGCTGAACCCGTCTCTACATTGCCGCTGTTTGTGTTGGTATGTACCTCTGAGACAGATGGCGTGCTTATGTGAAATGAAGTAAATTATACACAACCCTAGGCACGCAATGTGCACAGACTCACTCCCCAGACATTCCATGATGGATTTTCATTCACACTCAAAGTGCAGGCAGGTTCTCTCAGGTCTCCCCACAGCTGAGGATCTTCAAAATCCAGCTCTCAGGGGGACTGCTTCAGAGAGATCATTTCTGATTCCATATTGTTGCTTACATTCATCGGGAAGAAAATAAAGAAAATGATGCTCAGAAGCCTCAGAAAACCTATCAATTTTGATCCAGTGGGACAGAATTTTGCTAGTTCTGTCACTCTCTGATGGCAACTTGGCTTCATGTGACTTCTTTGAGAGCTAAAAATGTAGGAAGAGATTTCAGGACGCATGCGTGCGTAGGCTTTTTTTTTTGTGCTGCTAACAAAAGTCTGCAGCACCACAGAAGATATTCCAAACGAAGTCATTTTTCCACAGAACAATTCATCACAATGGATTCATCCCTACAAGAGTCCAAAATTGATGAAGTGTAATGAATCTGGAAGCCACATGAATTCCACTTGTGTACATTTCAGTACATCCATTTTTTTCCCATGTTTCTCAGCACCACCCTGAAATTCTGTTTTCAGAATGGGTAGAAACTGTCATAGGTTATCAGTTGGTAGGTAATAAGCACAAAAATTAAGTGCAGTGTTATTCAAAGGAGTAGGAGTAGGAGTAGCAGTTGCTCTTGGTAGTTGTAGTTTTGAGTGGAGGCACATAACAAATAAAATTTTTGGTTATTCTTAGCAATGTAAAAATATACAAAATTAACCATGCCCTTTTCCATACAATTTATAGCTTTAATTTGCTTGACTGCAGTATTTCCAATAATTTAAGTAAAATTATTTATATTTCAGAGCTATGCACACACAAGTGGGAATTTTTCTGTCCCTAGCTAGCAGAAGTGTCTTGTAACTGTCAGAAACTTATATGAAAAACTACATTATGCCTTAGCTGAGCACTGATTAGCACAGTCACAAATCTAAAACACATTTTGTGTTCATCATAGATTCTTCTAAGCTTTGATGAAGCTGTCTGCAATAATCCTAGCACAAGAATAGCCATGGCACATTAAAATGTAAGTACAATTGGAAAGGTAATTATGATAATACTGTGAACTTTACTAGCTAGCTCTACTCCCTGTGTGTCCCTTTGAGCCATGCCTCAGTTCTTTGACAGATGAGTGTTGCCACTGTTGTGCCAAACACATCCATAGCTCTGAGCATTGCACTAGTCCCCTGGGCGCCTATCAGTTCAGTTCTGATTAAAAGACACAACACAGGAGGAAAGAAATGAACCAGCTAAGAAGCAGTCACAACGTAGGAGCCATGGATCTTTCTGGCTCCACTCCCGCCACTGCTGTCCCTATGCACAGCTCCCTCTTTTCTCTACTGTCTTTCCACAGCCTGATGAGCTGATGAGTCTCCTTATAAGGCTTTTTTTCATCTTCCCTCCTCCCTCCCCTGTTTTTTGTGTATAATGGAACCCAAGTGGTCCCACTACATTTTGAGTCTTTCTCTACTGGCAAAGACCAGGAAAGTTTGTCCTTAAAACAAAAAAAAATTAGAAAACTCCAAAAACTTCTGGAGTGGCTTTTCTGATTATAGATGACACAATATTCAGTGGCTACTGAGTTTTTTTCACGTGTAATTGGCAAAACACACATCAGCATTTAATGCATCATTTTCTTAATTTGGCAGTTGAAAGCAATCTTCACTAATGTAAAAAGCAGACGACACGCTGAAAAAACAGAATTCTCATTCTTTGCTGGTGTACCTCCATCTTAGCACATAGAAAATGTTGGCCCTAATCCTGGTCAGGATTACTTTAAGTTTTATACTGGCACTGTTCACATTTCTTCCAGGGAAGGAACTTTTAATGCCTGTCTACTATCACTTAATAATTATTTAAGTCCATCCTTATTAAATTAATCTTGCTGTTTGCTGAACGCCTTCCTAGCAAATTAAAACTAAAAGAGATTTGAAAAGCTCTTCTCTAATGAGAAGAATATGGTTGATTACACTTGACCATGTCTATTTATCTCATATGGATATTGCACTTTTTATGCTGTAGCAAGAATTAGACATGGGAAGAAAATAAGGTTCTTGTACTAGTCATGGACTTTATGACAGAAAGAAAGACACCAAACTCAAATAATTGTTACCATAAAATATCTCTGCTTCCAGTGTTAAGTGAGAGAACTGAAACCCAGGGATGAAAAATTCCAGGTATCTCAATTAGCAGATAATTTTGAAACAACCCTTAGTCTTCCTTTCTTCTTCATTTCAGTTGGCTGGAGTGAAAGCCTTGCTCTCTGTAATAATTTCATGCACTTACCTGCTGCCTTCCTGAGGAATACACTGCTCAACATCCACTGAAAGAGAGGCCATAGCAGATACTGTTTCTGTCTCCTCCCTCTCTTGCTTCTGAGACTCGGCCAGAGCACAATCCACTGGCACAGAGTATGGCTCCACTGACTTCCAGTACTTGCCTAAGGAAAACACACATAATAATTTATGGGAATTTTAGCTAGCATGGTGGTACAAGAACAGTAATCACTTAGTTCAACACTGAGTGATTATAATTTAAAATCACTGTGGTGTAAGCAGTACAGTTGAAATTTCAGACTGCAGTGAAGAGCTCTGTTTCTGAACCTAAGAATGCCAAGTTGGAAAGTGCTTTCATTCCAAGAGCCGTGTCACACCCTTCCCCAGAAGGTAATAAACTGAAGGAGTAACACACAGACTAATGAACACAGATTGTCAGGAAGGCTCTTGGCTTTATCTACACAAGGTGATGGGAGTTCAGAGCAGGGTTAATAACTAGAAGCTCTGATATGTCACACAGTTGATGCAGAGACAGCAAAATGTAGAAAAATGTACATTGTTGTACAAAGTGCTCACACAGCACTGTCTTGAAAAGGAAAGAAGTCAGAAATGCCAGCTCAGACTGAAGTGGTGTTGCCAGAACAATCAGGTTTGTTAGTCCTGGATGTTCTTTCTCCTCCAACCTCAGGGCGTATACTAGAACAATAATTTAGTTAAAACTTTCATATATGAACTGGCTGTTGCTGGAAAGCTGCCAGGTATCATAAGGGATACCTGGATTCCTGGTCTGCTATGTAAAAATACAGCAGTGGATTAAAAGCATGAGTACTTTCAGATTTCTGCCTGCAAAACGGAAGAAGCTCATCAAGCAATGCAAAAAATAACAGCAGGTGACTCATCCTAAACATATAAAATTGTCTGCTACTGCACAGCTATTAAGAAATAGTTTAATTATTGGAAACCACATAACAAGTATGAATTTACATAAATTTTTCTTAATAGTCCAGTAAAACACTGAGCACTCACTAATTGCCAGGTGGATGACACCTGGGAATTAGGAGCTTTGGGAAGTCTGGGAGCTCTGGACCAGAGCTTACTCAGAGTTTAGCAAGAAGCTTTCAGCAGCTGCTGCTGAGGTTGGATCAGGGTACTTATCTGGGAATTAGACAGCGGGTTTCAACAGCTGTGAAAGAGAGGGGATCAAGCAGGGGACCTTTCCAAGGACTAAAAGGAGGATTTTGGCAGCTGGGCAGCAGGCTGAGTTGAGGTGCTTATCCAGAGGGTAGCTGGAGGCTTTGACAGCTGGGAGGCCAGGCCAGCAGTGGTGCTGCCTGTGCTGCAGAAAGGCTGCTGAAAACTCCCTCTTTGGTAACACAGCTCTCAACACTGTTTCAGGCTTTTGGAAGGATGAACTTTTCCCTCCAGTGAGAAAACAGCTGTCAATAAAGTCTGAAAATGTCTTTATTCAAAAACATCACTGCAAGATGAAAGCCCAAGTCAATCTAAAAGAACAACCAGTGAGCATGGCCAGAGTGTTTCTTTGAACTCTAATAGTGTGCACGTTTGAGTAGTTAGCAGAATCTTTAAATAACGGGGACCTTCTGGGGATAAAATGTAAAGTGTATTAAGTATCCTACAAAGTTGAGATTAAGTGTTAGGAGGTTGGCTTTGCTCCAAAAACATGAAAGACAGAGCTAAAAAGTTATGCACATAACAGTAGGCTCAATGATTGGAGCCTGGCAAATTTTATAAAAACAAGACAAAAATATTCTCTATTATTACTGTGCTCAGAGACCATATTCTCTATTCATTAAAAAATACACTAAAAACAAACAAAAAAGTTATATGAGCATTCCAAAATGTTCTCACAGATCCTATGTGCAAAAGTCAGGCTTTGCAATATACACCCAATTCAAACCCTATAATTTATGAGCTAAATGTTCACAGAGTGGGTGGGGTTTTTGTTGCAGAAACAGATGTGCAAGAAAAATCAAATCTGTTGGCATGGGAATAATACCCCCTCTTGCCTATAAAAGAAATGAACCCATGTTCACTGTTGGAGTTTTCAAGGGCTTTTATTCATAAAATAAAATATTAGTACCCAGCTACCACTGTGTTGCTCTCCTGCAGCAACAATAAAACAGCATCCGTGAGGATTTCTACATCACATTCATTCATTCACACACAGGCTTGCACACCAGCTGCCCCCTGAATCCTGACTTTCTTGTAACATTAAAACTCAGGGCCAATTTGAGCATATTAGTGGGCTCTCGGTGCCCATTTAACTGCCCTTCACTCCCAAGCGATTGGTGGTGTTCTTTGTTTGAGAGTTGTGTTATGAGAGGGGCTTCAGTGACAGGGAGAGCAGAGTCAGGCCAGGAGGCAGGTGGCAGCCCATATACTACACTGGAGGGTCCTGGAGAAAGGAACTACGTGGCAGTGTGTTTGTGGTTTGTGGGGGGAAATGTTTAAGCAGTCACAATTAGAAATAGCATCCAGGTAGCAGCAGGTACCTCATGCAAAGAGGGCTCTGTGATGCCTGTGAAAAAAACAATGATAGGTTTTTCTTTAAAACTGGAAAACTGTACTTTACAAATACCTTGGGTAAGCAGAAGAGCTTTGCAAGCTTCTTTTTATCCAGGACAACATTTATTTGCTGTACATAAAACATACAGGCCTTGAATGTGTGTTCAGCCAAAGGATTTGCAGGCAAAGACTTACGGAATGGGGAGGCAATCACAGCACGCAGCTGCAGAGGAGCTTTGTTAGGAGGTATGTTGTGGATTGATAATTAAAAGAAGTCAAAAAGCATTGGCCTCAAACCACTCCAATCTTTGAAACATTTCTATGTTCATGAAACATTTCATGACATTTCTACTGTGCCCTACTGGAATGTGAAATGTTACCAGTGCTGTTACATTCATTGAGAAGAACTTGGTGGAGCTCAAGGGAAAGAATGAAGCATACTTCTGGTTTCATTCATACAAAACTTGAGCAATCATGGATCGCAAGAAAACACCAATGAAACAAAATCAGTCTTCTAGGTATGCTTTGGCTTTCAGCATGAAAATGTGCTTAAGCCTCCCTCAAAGATTTGTGTGAGCACTGACTATTACCAGGAAATAATAAAAGGGAATGTTTCTCTAAGTCCTATAGGCATTTGTAATTGCCTTTCATAGATTTGCACATGCTGTACCATGGCTTGCTTGAAAAACAATGTTTGGGGTTGGTATTCTGCTGTTGAACAGGATTGCTCAGAAATAGCCTATTACATGGGTGTGGAAAATACTAATTCCAAATATATTACATTTTCAAAGGAGCTTTGGATCACTGTCAATACAAAACATTTATAGAACTTCTATTCTAGTTAGAAAAAAAAAATTGGTCTCTTAGTTTCGAAGTATTGTAGCTTCAAGGTTTTGCAAAAGCACAGAGAAATACAAACCCAATATCCAAAGGCAGTGCAATGATTCAAACAAATCAAGCTTTCTCAGTACCTCTTGGGGTGTTAATCAACAGCCTAATGCTCTGCAACTTGCCTAACTCTCTTAAGTATTGACCAGGTACTTGATTCTTTTAGATCTAAATATGCATCACAAAGCTTCACTGAACTTCATCAGGGCTCCTTTCTGTCATCCAAGCATATTCCTTTCTAATACCTGGTCTCTCTCCAGACAAAGTGAAGTAAATATAAATTTTCAGGTAGCTGCAAGAAAAGGCAGAATGTTGTGTGTAAGTCCAAACTCTGAACAGCCTGACTAAGGTTTCAGAACAGCCCACTGGACTGCATGACTGTACCAGTTCAGCTGAAATCTAGCTGTGGCAAAATTAAGCCATTCTGCAGATCACTGGACTATGTCCTCAGATTTACACTACATATTTGTTCCTAAATCCACACCTTCTCTCTCAACAGCCATCATTTCTGTGTATTCCTACTCTTCTGTTCGTCTGTTTCTCAATTCACCCTTTTTTTGGTTTCACATCCATTTTTAATTACATACATGTTTTATTTCAAACATAATTTAATCTCTTTTCCTTGTGTCTGTGGTCTGTGTAGCATTCTGCCCTTATTACCATTTGCAAATCTGTTTTATCTTGCACAGTACATGAATCTCCTAAACCTGCTGACTCCCTCCAGATCATTAGCAGATTATTAACAGGGAATTTTATCTCATGAACTATCCAAGAACGTACCACTCAGCACAAAGGACTTATTGGAATATATCATATACAGATTATTTAATTAGAACTTCTCATATATATATGTCTACTGGACATGCATGATGAGTTACACATCTACAATGAATTTTCTTTGTCACTTTGCAGCTAAAAGCAGATGGAGAAACACTGTATGAACAGTGAACTGGGTATGGTGTCCCTTTTAAAACCTGCATTTATTTTATGTAGATGAATCCCAACCATTTGTGGTTCATCTCAAATGAAGGAAAACATTTGTTATTCATTTGTTATTCTAAAGCAAACAGTACAAGTCAGGAAGCTCCCACTGGCTCAGTAAAATGGCAGAGACCAGAAGATTAGAGAATTTAAGGGATGTGTGCTCAGTTGGATTAAAGCAATTGATGGCACAAAGTTCTTCAGTGAGAAAATGCCCTAAAGCATCTGGGTATTCAAGGGTCAGAGAACACGAAGTAATAATGTACCCCCCTGTCTCAGAAACAATAAAATAATGTAATTTTTAGCGCTGCTCCATGGATCAGTGCCCATGAGGAGCTTTTTAGCTTTATCTCAAGCTCCTGTGAATCTCAAAGTGAGTACCTTGTAAAGGGCTGCAGAAACAGAATCTGAACAAACTGTTTGTTAGAGCTCTAATTTACCTGTCTGTTCCTGTCCCTCACTGATAAACATCTATTTCATCCAAGCTGCTCTGGAATGAAAAAATTTGGGAATATTCAGGAATCAGAAATGTTTAAATAATTTTAATGGGTTACTTTCTCAAGGCTAAATACTTGGCAGACAAAAAAATATTGAAGAAAAAAAAATCATATACATATAGATAGATATAGATATATTAGACACACCATGCAAATTTACACATAAAACATTTTCCCACTCTTTTCTCTGAAACAATAATGTCTATGACATTAATTAATAATAAAAAACAACCCCAAGCCCATTATCCCACCAACTCAAGCTGAGAAACATACTTTGAATTTCAGTGGTCTTTTTTAAAGAAGCTATTGCATTCATATTGGGGATTTGGTGCACAATATCTTCCGGGAGAGGTTCCAGCTGAAAGAATAGAATAGAATAATATAAATAGTCAATAAGCCACAGGGACATAAAACAAACTGAAACAATCTAATCCTCAAGAAAAGCTCAGCCCAAGAACTGGTTAATATGTTGCTGGTATCAGTTCTAAATGTATAGTCATGATTTTGTTTTCTGTTTTCCAGCCATGTAATTGAATTCCAAGGGGCTTTTCTATTGGCTGCAAGACTAATCTATGGAGTCTCTGAAGCAGGTGCATGTCTGTGTATTATTCATTAAAAAATGCTAGTTATTTGTGTAATTTTTGTAGGTTCCTCACAAACCAAATTCCACTGCGTCTGTATATGCAGCTGGGCACTCCAAACAAAACCTTGCTGAAACTGCACTGGAACCAAAGTGTGTGCTCTATTATCTTTATTTTTCTGATGTTATTTCATCTAACCATCTTAATACATTTTAAGGTTTATAGGGGAAAACCATAAAACACAGCTGCTTTTACTAGCTTAACATTAACTTCAAATAAAGTAGTAAGTAAAAAAATGGTTATGCAGATTAGCAGTAAATTTCCCTAAGTAAGTTTTTTACAGAATCAGCTGCATTTTAATTTCCTAATCTTAATGGAGTATTCTTTGAGTAGGCCTGCACTAGCAGAAAGAAGTGTTCAGTTAATGCATAGTTATTTTTGCTCTGCAGTGGATAAACATAAAAAATAAACTGTATTTTGAATGTCACCCACATGTGCCTTTTTGTCCACCCTCCACACATTTTCTCCTAGGAAAAAAAGAGTAAAAAAAATGATTGGGCTAAATGTTTCTCCTTGTACTGTAATAACTATATTCTCCCTGAACTAGGTGAAGAATCATGAAGTTTTTCTGCTTCCCCACATAAACTGCCATGGCTGGGTGTGCAGGCTTGCGTCCCCAGGAGTAGCAACTGTGTCAAGGTGGACAAAAAAGAGCTATCTCAACACCAATCTCTCCTGTCTAAAGCTAAGGAAGTTCAACCACCATTGACAGGAGACATCTGTACTGCAGACAAAACTCCTTTCTTAAGTATGCCTGCATCTATTTTAAACTTGGGAAGCCCACCCAAGGAGCTTCCTTTGTGAAGTTAATAGTTCAGTAGCCATCATATACTGTCCTCCAGGTTGCTACCGCTGCATCGCTACTCACCAGCTAGATAAAATCGACTTTGATCCAAGCATACATAGTGGGAAGAAACTGCAGTGTGGATACTCCCTCGGTGGTGCTATTTTAAGCAAGCTCAGCTACAAATCCCAAAACTTCTGGGATCCTGCCACTATAATCAGCAGTGAATGTCTGTCAGCGATAAAGACTTTGCAAAAATCACCAGTCCTTTGGAGTCTTGGTTACTAAAATGAATAGGGCTGTTCATGTCATTATTTCCTTAGAAGCCCATATGGGATTGCAGCTGGAAGATTTTCTTCTGGCTAGAAACAATAGCACTATGTTTTGTTTTCAAATAGCATAAATCTGCTCAGTGATCAACTGTGCAGAGAAGTTCTGGTTGGACCTGACTGGGTCCCAGTGCTACTTGGTTAGCCAAGAGGTCAAAGTGCAAACAAAGATTGTTCCTATCCTGTAGGTATGGTGGATTAGCACAAAGACAGCAGTTACAATGCAAATAATATTTCAGACACTTTGCAATCCTTGAACCCCATCTACTTTATCATCTTCATAGGTGGATCTATTTGGTAACTCCTTCAGGTGCCTGGGGGGAAACAGCATTTTTACAAAAATGCCAAGAAACATACCAAGCTTTACAGATTTTAGAACAATAATCCATGTAATAACCTTAATAATCCACAGCTTGAGTTATGCAGAAAAATAGCATTTGCTTTATCACTAGTCATTTTCTGTTTGAAGTAATCTATCATTTGGCCAGGAAGAACAGAAAATCCTGAAGTTCTGTTTGGTCATGCTGGGTGCAGGAATGCATAAGGGGCACCAAAGAGTAAGAGTTTAAGGTTCTGTTTCATCAGTTCCTAATTCCTGAGGCTTTGATGACCAATTCACTTCCCTGAAACAGAGCCTGGAGCTCCATAGCAGTAGGGATATTAGTAAAAGGTATGGAATTGGCAGACTGCAATGCATGAGAGCTGTGTCTTGGTTTGCCCTTTAAGTAGAAGATTCTTTAGGCAGACCTTTTGTACTAATTATATGCAGATCCTTTGTACTAATTATTAAGATGGCAAGAACCAATGTAGAGACAGTTAGAGGAGATTTTATATTAGAAGGTGGATATTTTGTTGCCCTCCTTAAAGTTGGATTTTTGCAAGAGACAAAACACAAAATATTTGATTTTCTCTAATATATCAAAACCACCTCTTTATTTATCAGTACAGATTTTTTTTTAAAAAAACAAGTAGGCTGCATTTGAATATGTAGACATATCAGGTGAATATTTAGAAATGACAGATATGTTTTTAGAAATCAGCATAAGCTGATGAATCCTTAAAAGAAGAAAAAGGGTAAAACATCCAACACCTATCCCAATCGTTACTCCATCTGTTAGCACTACTAACAGATGTAGGTGATGAGAGTATAATGGGCATGTTTGATCATTTCCTTAACTCTTTTTTTTCCTAAAAATTTTATTTTACATCCCAAGCTTGGCTGAGGCAGGTTCCTAAGCCTTTCTGTCTCCTCATTCTTAAGTACAGCCCAACAGACCTCAGACCCTCTTTCATATCAGGGAAATTTTATCAGGCTCCACAAGTGAGTTCATTACATCACATATCCTGCATAGCCCAGAATAAGGTTCCATTAAGAAATCACTGCAGAAATAAAGCCAGTGGGTTATGGCAGCTATTTCTATATCCTTTGAAATGAGACTGTCTGCATTCAAAAGGAGGATTTTTCTGGCAGTTATCCACTGTTTGCGTACAACTGTATAGACACAGAAGTGTCCCTGGAAAATATCAGCAGTTAGACTGAGTTCTGAACAAAAGAAATTACTCTACACCTGGCATACATGGCACCATCACCTTCCCCCCTACACTTGCTGGCATTCAGATCATGAAGTCTATTAAATCTGGAGAACAGAGAAGAAGCTGAAAGGAGCACTGGAAATACACCATCAGGAAAGAAATTGTTCAGAACAGTTCAAGTCTGCAGAAATAACCAAACCACTGGAGAGACAGTTTGGACCAGACACAAAGGGTCACATTTTCAAAGCTTTTACATGGCTGAATTAGGCTTTTGTGTCCTAAGTAGAAGATTAATGTAGAAACTGAGTCCACTAATCATTTTCAAAATAGGAAAAACAATGTAAATGGGGAAAAAAAATCACTTGGTATGCCAAAATCTGCCAGAGGCATATCAACAAATGTTTGAAGAAGGAATTAATGATGGAAATTTCATGTGCCCAGAAAGGGATCTGAATTGATCCTTGGGAATGTGGAGAGAATCTGAAACTACAGCAGTCTGTATTGAGCTGAAAATTCTAGCAATATCCGTGTTGTCTTTATCACTGTCGTGTTTTAAAGTACCAAGATCAGCTTCACTGAAGAATGTTGCAGAGTGCAGTTAGAGATTACTGACAAATGAGGCAAGTGTAAGCAGAAGGTAAGGAGGATGGAGAGTCTGCCAGAAGCAGAGGAAGGGGAGGAGGCAAGCAGGCTCCTCAAGGTTGCCAGGGCTGCAGAGCGAAAAATTACAACCACCCCTTTCTTGGTTACACTACGTAAAAAACCCATCAGCATAAAGACTGAGCTTTGTGGCTCTTAATGTTGCCCATGATTACAGAAGAGTAAGTTCAAAGATCTCACAAGTCTTATGTGTTCTTATATTAGAAATTTTCTCAGAGTTTCTGCACTCTTTGCTTGCTTACGTATGAGCATTTCAGGCAGGTATTTTTGTGATCAAGGGTTACAAAGCAGTAAATAAACAAATCAGATTACATCAGGGAATAAGTTCAAAGACACAAAGGGCTATTAGGGTCATTGGCACCTGCCACTCCCTGAAAACCAAGCGATACTTTGGAATTACATAATTTTGGAATCAGAATATTCTTTTCCTTGGCCAAGCCACTTCCTGAGTAGCACTGCCCACCTTGGGAACTTTGATGTCACCGTGCTGACCTCTGGCACACACGTTGGTCCAGTTTCCTATCCCATCCAAATCTCTATTTCTAGACTCTGCAAGCAGCAGTTGACAGGTGGTTTAGACTCGGTGTTAATTATTTTCTAGTATTAGAGTCAGATTAACAATGAGGATGTGAGACTGTGAGCAAGTTTACCATGCAATTTAAAATTGATCTCAGGCCATATTCACTTCCATGAATATTTCCATTTTGGAGAGAGAAATGCTTACCTGTTCTGGTAAATAAACCCTTTTAATGCCCTCTTGGCAGAGCTCACTGCCTAGCTGGGAAGCAGACCCAGATTGACACTGAATTCCACAAAGGAGAAAATGCCAGCTTTTCATCATCAGCAGGAAAGCTGCAGAGTACAAGCTTTCCACTTAAATTACCATCCCCTCCTAAATGCCAGCTCAACAGATTGCGAGAAAGAAGCACATACTTCACACTCTGCAAGAAAATTGTCCGGTGTAAGTTTTCAAGCACGCTTGGGAGCCAACCAATCACAATGTTTTGTCATATTCTGCTTCAGACTGAAATTCAAGCCAGAAGAGTATTTACTAGAAGATGTTAAATTTAGTCACTTAAAAATGTTTTTACACTTAGGGCCAAATTCAGCCTTGGCCGCCACAGTCAATGAGAGCAGACGTGCATCTTCTCTGCGCCTTTGCTGCAGGGTCCCGCTGGGCAGAGACACTGCGGACTGCACTCCTCCTGCTTCCTCTGTGCAAAGAAGAGCATGACCCCATCTGTGACTCATTATCACTTGTTACAGACCCAGAAAACTGCTGTGCCACGGAGAGCTAAGAGCCACTGCCCAAACCTGTAGGCAGATCAGAGGGACCATGATGTCAGAGTGACTTCAATGTCCTGTGGAGATATCACACCTGGCTGCTTTAAAAGGGATGGGATGAAGAAAGAACTAAATCCTTAGTTTTGACTCAAAGATGTTTGTGCTTGAAAGAATACTTCCCTAATCTTTCTGGCTGCAGAAGAACCCCTATATGAGTGCAGTTATGTTGGAAATAAAACGTAGGATTTAGCATACTTGAAGCAATCCAAAGATTTTTTAAATCCACGTAGTTCCTCCTCAAAAATAATGTGGAGGAAAGAAAGCAGAACATGTACCCTTACATATCTAGAGCAGCATTGCTCACCACCACCAGGGACCAAAAGTCATAGCAGAGCTTTTTACAGCACCTAAACTAGGATGGGCAAAATGAGGTGGAATATCCATACTCCACAATGAAGATTTTGGGGGAAAATCTCAATATTTAACCCAATTTTCACAGACTTCTTGGAATAAAATGCAAATCTTAATATTCAATGGTTTTCTTAACTGACGTAATATGTATATCTATATACACTTTAAAAATGAGGTTTTAAATCCATATAATCAATGTGTGAAAAACTGTAGAATCTTTTAAAGACTGTCACAATAAGTGAAATAATTTAATTTTCAGCACAGATATCATAATCTTAGAAAGGCTTAAAAGCAATTAATCTTTTGGAATTATCTGAATCCATCTTTTCCTTTGTTTTGACAGATGTTCTTTTAACAGGCCAGTTCTCAAATCACGTTGAGAAAATTCAGAGATATTTTAAGGCAGCTGATGGTCATCTTGCCTTTTCACCTTCCAGAAGGTTTTTCATGTTTGCATTTTGGATTTCAAGGGAACCCAGCTGCTTAATCTCTTCTCACCTCTTAGGAAGATTTCCTTCCAAGGAGATAACCTACAGTGCTTCTAATTAAGCCTGCAAATGGTCAAATGGATTTTTCTCAAAGTGACATGGAAACTTTCTGCTTGTAAACAGAAGCACGGAGAGAAAAACCTAAGATATCAAAATATTTTAAAAGTAATTTTACATATAAACTTTCTAATTAAAAAATTATCTGTATACAGTTTATCCTTAATTCTATAGCTTCCTTTTTAGTTTGTTTATTATTTAAGAAGGTATTCACAAACCAAACAGAGCCATTTCAGATACCATACGTTGTCTTGCCTTCTTTCCAGTTGCTGTCAGAAACGGTATGGATCTCCGCAGAATTCTCTGTTACTTATACCAGTCCTTCCATGCTCAAATTATTTTAAAAAGATTGATTTGATAGAGTATTATTTTCCTAGTGTCTTCACTTACTTTTTTCTAAGAGAAGAGTAAGATGTTATCTGACTAAACAAATCGCTAAACTATAAGTCATGTATAAATCAAAATATCTGTTTTGGAGGTCAACTGTTTTCCTTTTTGATTCTCTGAGAGAAACTAAGAAAAGAAGGCATTTTGCACTTGCAAATTTAATGTTACCTGTTAGGTAACATATCAGACCAGCACTTCCTGAAAGATGAAAGTTTTAAGTTGTGGCTAGTTTTAGAATTTTTTTTAAAATGTTACTCTGTTGGTAATAGGACACACGAAGGAGTGAATTTCTGTATTGAAAAGTCCTGGCCAAAAACAACAAAAGAAAAGAAAAAGTTTTCAAAAAGCTCTGCAAAATGTTTATGAATTCTAATCCTCAGCACATGAATAAATACATCTGACAAACTGCAGGGTACCTCACAAAAGCCTTTTCCAACCTTTCTAATTTAAGTTCAAATACATGTGTAGTGTTTAGAACTGAAGTTAATCTTGCCAATGTTTTTAAACTAGGGGTGCAGCATATGACATTATTTGTAAAAGTGAAAGGCAGATAATAAGTTATAATTATCCTATTAATCACCTGTAAAGAATTGCATTCAGAGAAGAATGCATCCTCAAATTATAGTAATTAGTTGTTTAAAGAAAAAAAAAAAAAATCCATCCTTGGCAGAACACGCTTGGAGTTTGCTGTGCAAGTTCATGAACAGTATGCTGAAATCAAGCAGTGTATATATGTGCTGTGGGTGATGTGGTGCATATTGCTATAAGCCTGTTTCTGACTGCTAACTAAGCATCAGACTTTCTCATTAGTGTCTGCTCCTTGGCAACACCTTTACTTATTCTTTTAAGACAATGTTGGTTTCTTGTGGTACTCTTGGTAGCAACATCCTCTCTGGACTACTTTTCTTCACAGCCATAGCATATTTCATCTTTGAAATTCTGCTACACCAAACCACTTGACGCATATCCCAGAAGACAGTGCTGGGACTAGCACAAGGACATGAGAAGAATGCTTATTGCCTGAGATGTTCCAAGTTATTAAGGACCATGTTCTTTTACAAGCAAATTAAAATGGACTGCATGGGGGTTTTCGTACCCATCTTCATTCAGTGATAGCAGAAATAGTAGTTGGGTTTGATACAGTGGTAAAACAAAACAAGGCAGTTTTCATAAATGGGGTAGCACCACCAAATGGTCATAACTGGAGAGAGGGACCCAGGTGCCGACACAGAGGAGGATACATCACACTGTCAGCATAGAACCATTCACGTTAGTCCCACAAGGGTGCAAACTTCAGGGAATGGGTTTAGAAATGCTATGAAAAGCCATTGGTTTTGTAATGCTATCACAGGGAAGATGACAACAGAAATATCAATGACAGTGCCCTGGAATGGCAGCTGATCAGGAAGGCAATGCTGCATTCACTAAGATTCTCAAATGCCTCAAGCTGGGTTATGTATTCCATATTTCAGTACCTAAATAAAGAACTAACACTTGAGCTGAGCAGCTTTTTTAGTAGCGTATACCACCACACTGGAAAACTTTCCTTCTGGAGTTTATCAAAGGTGACAGTAGATAAAACCCATTGAAAACCTTCTCTTTTTTTTCTGGTATCTGTTATACATTTCTGAGAATATTTTTGAAAAAGCTAACACTTTATTCATTGTATGTATAATGTAAAGAAATAATAAGCATTGTTGATGTGTCATAAAGATGAAAAGCAAAGGTTTAAAAGAACACTTAGAAAATTCTCCTACCCAACATCCATCAGAAGACACGTTACTTCACCTTATTCACATAGGTAGGAAGCCTTGAAGTGGAAGGGACCTGGCAGACTAGCCTGCAATTTGGCACTAACACATTTGATTGGAGAGATTATATAGCTATTAAGACTTCCCCTGAGGGGGAAACAAAGTAGCACACTCCACTTTTATAACAAGATCTTGCAAAATTCACAATTTATGGTAAAGGCTTTTGTCCCTTCATAAATTATTTTGGCTGCACCTTCAGCAATTTTTTTTTTCCTTCTCACTGTGTTTATAGGAGAAAAGATATTTTTTAATGGATAGCAGAAAAAAATTCACTAATAGGCATCTTTATATTGCATTTGTATACATAAATAACACATACTCATATTTACTTAGTCTTATAGTCTCCTCTCAAATGTTGTTAACATACACAGTGTTTTATAACTCTTGGAAACTCCATTTCAGCTGCATACAGATCAACCTAAATCTTCATTTATATTTTTTTTTAATCTTGTACACATTCTTATTAATAATATTTCAGCAGTGAAGTGCCAAAATACTGCAAAATACGTGCCTTTACAATATCCAGTCTCTGAGATTACCAGTTACCTTGAAAAAGACATTCTTTTTACTTGATAGGTGGCTAAAAGGTCCAGTCCTAGCACATGATATGCGCACCAATGACTGCCAGTGATGCCAAGTCTGATATTCAGCGCATCACTAAAAGCAATTTGCAAGTTTTAAATATTACTCAGAACTGGGTATAAATTAGGCATGCACTAAAGAATTTTTATAATCATCTAATTTAGAGGTATTTATGCAAACCAAGTCTGTTAATTTCTAAGACATATTCAAATTCCATGGTTTTTATACCAAACGAAAAAAGGACTGACACGGTAGTTCCTAAAAGGATACCAAAGACAGCAGCTTCAGCAAACTTGGCTCATTCTCTCTACCTGCTCTATGTTTTACCTCATTTCCTAGAAGGGCGTTTATACAGGCTTCAGAGGCGTCACAGATGGCAGTAAGGTCATGTCCTCCCTCCAGTGCCAGCACCACACGGCCATCCGCCAGCTTCAGCAGCTGCTTGGTTAGGTGACCAAAACCTGGCATTCAAATACAGGAGTGCAAATAATTAAAGAAGAACAGGCACCGCAGGCATGTTTCACATCTGCTGCATGAGAATGTAGAAAGCTCTGGAATACTGTACAGGGAGCACAGGATATACTTAGTCTGGTATCCTGTTTCTGACCACGGCCCACACGAGATGATTTGGAGTTAGTATATGGAATTTTTTATGAGGCACATGTGAGATAATGTCCCTCATCCTGATCCCTCATTGCTGGAGATTAGTTGAAACATGAGGATGTCTCTCTTCTTACCTTTGTTAACTGTTATCACCCTGGATTCTCTTCTATTTGCATATCAATGTGACATATAGCCATGTTATTTAGAGAGATATGACATAACCCTGGTCACTTATGGCATTGATATGGCAAATAATATCTGTAGTTAAACTATGGTGCTAGAATTAAAAATAATTGTGCTTTCCAAATGGGATGATGAAGGGTTTTTTATTTAAAAATTACTTCTTCCTTTATATTTGAGGTTTAAGAATAATATAAAATCATGGACAGAGAGATAGTGGAAACATATGTTACCTCTTAGCCCCATCTTGAAGTGTTTTTAGAAGCAGCACTAACAATTTTAATTCAAGGTTTTGGTATAAGCTGAAGCTGTCTAAAACTTCATAACTATCTCTACCAGTATCACTCACTCCTGACCAACAGTATTCTACTGCACCATAGCCAAAAATGATGGTACTTCATTTTCTGTGGTGATCTATAACTACACAGACATTACCACAAAGTTTTCATCTGTGATTCAAGTAAAGTTAATTTATTACATTTTTAATGACAAGAAAAATTGCATGAAATATGTCAATTTGGAGTGAAGATTTTTGGAAGAATTTTTGTGGTAGTTTCCTAGGACAGCTATTGTTTTTGTTTAATCTCTTTCAAGTGAGAAATGATAAATAAAGACTTGAAACTATTGATGTTAAATAAACATCACAACTTTTCCACTTGATCTGTACTAGTTGCTCCATTGATGGTCATCACTACTCATTCCAGTGCATTTCCTTTCTTTCAATAAACCATTAGAAGGTACCTGCTAAACCCTGAAGTTCTAAAAAGACAGGAAAATCAGACTCCTTTTATTATGTTCCACTGAAGAAGACCACCAAAAATTAAATCTCTGGAAATTGCATGTATATTTTCCAAGGGAAATTTTCTAAACTCATGTTTAGTTCTGTCTTCATTTTAGGATCTCAAATGAACATCTTTGTTAAGCACATGTCCAACTGTTACTGAAATAGTAACTTTAATTATATCAAATCTGGATTAGCTGTACAGACATGAAAACCCCAAAATAAAAACTCCTCTACTTGCCACTTAACATATAGATTGTCATAGAAACACTTGAAGTGAAATACTGTTTCCTTGAGCCACTTCCCAATCTATTGTATCTTGAAAGTACCAAAGTTTTGACTCTAACAAAGTAACTACACTGTGGTTCATATTACATAAAGGGGTGCATAAAAATTAAACTGTAAACTCTCCTTAAACTCAACCTTCCATCATGAAAAAAAAATCCAACCAAAAAAACCCCAACAACCCCCTCTCCCTCTCCTCTCTACAAAAGACCAAATTTAGACAGGATAATAAAAATGAAGGAAGCAATGGAATGAGGGTAACCTTTGATCTTTAGCCAATTTCTGCTGTCTTTTACCTACAGAAGTAATTTCTGTCTGCATCTTACATATGAGCCCTTTGGGTCCATAAGAAGAGAATGCCAATAGTGTAAATTGAGTCAAAGACTTCTACATTCCTGTTTCATTTACAGGAAATTAAGAAAAATCAACAGGTGCAGGATCCCCATATCTATAATTCACCCTTTCAGTGTGTGAGGAATCCAATAGCACTTTTAAATTGACATTATCCTTTGTGTTATACAGATTCTGTGAATGGGAAGCTCTACCACATTTACCCTGCACATCGGAGAATTCTGTTTGACTGCAAATATTGCTATCTCCACATCGTAATCTTCTGAGGTTTGTAGGGCAATAAATGTAAAGACTCTTACTATGCCTTTTCTTCATTTAGGCAACCATACATAATATAACCCATCATCATTGTGACAATATTAGTTTGTCTGCTTGGTTTCCTGATAATTTTCCTTGTATCAATGCTATAATAATCACCCCTGACTGAATCAGAATACAATGAGCTACACAGAAAGCTCTGTTCTTTCCAGAGATCACGGTAACAGGATAAACTGTTTCCAACCCAAATTAACATGATAGGGCTTTTCTTCAGTATAACTACTCTGAGAAAGTAAAGGTGATTTGCTAGAAAGTGAACAACTAACTTTAGTCAACAGCACCAACATCGCCAGTGACTGAATGAGTTACGGAAATTCTTAACAAAGAAACTTGGATCCCATGTCACTGCAGCAACCTAGGAAAGATGTTAGCTTCCTCAAGGAAATCCCCTGGAGTGCAGAAGTAAGAAAATGGAAAGAAAGGAATCCCATTCAAGTAATAGTTTTAAGATGGGCTGTAGTTCATGCCAAATAATTAATGAAAACAAGAAGAAAATAGTAACAAGCACCATTAAAAGAATCCGTCATCTCCCCTGATATAAGAAGATCAAACACTGGCCAACTTCAGGTGAGAAAGGAGTCAGAGAAGCATTTTGAATCCTGGGCCTTTCCAACTCACATGAATATCTAGAAATCAGATGCAATTCTTGGCCCTTCTACTGTACCTGCTGAAATCTTGTAAACGTGCTCAGTGATTTTGCATGCAGCATTTTTTTTTCAAATTAAGCTCATGCAGCGTGCCAGAAAATTCTAAGAATGGTTTTGTGCCAACTATTATTTTCATAAGTTCTTTAATTTAAATATTGTAAGTACTTGCTTCATCAACAGATCCAACATTTGGGTAAACTGGGCAGAACTTGCAAAAGCATTTAATATTCATTTGCTATCATCCTATTAAATATTATGATTAACCTTTGATTTACACAAGAAACAAAACACTACTAAGTAATTCTGAAATTCCTGCTCCCCAAGTGTTTTATATTCTCTTCACAAAAAAAACCCAGGAGTGCACAATGTGCATCAAAGCAGAGAAGACTAGATTAAGACTGTAACCATTAAAAACCATGCTATGCATTGGAGAGATAAGCTGTATATGAGCTCTAATTTGCCAGCCTTTGAAGCAAAAATACAAAATTTCAAGACAAAAACATAATGTGTAATTTTTAATTATACTTTTACCCCTCCTGCAGAACTATTATTGGAGTAGGTACAATACTCAGATTTTTGTAAGAAATTATTCTAGTGTAGGAAGATGGAAAGAGAAAATTATTATTCTATTAAACTAATGAGCAAGCTGTCAGTCTGTTATTCAGTGTGCTGATCGCTTGAATTACCATCTAAGGAAGTAATTAATCATTTAGTGGACTGAAAATGTATAAAAATCCTATAAAAAGAAAATTCAGAGCTATTTCAGTTTTATTTTGTTGTTTTTGAGGTATCCTCAGTCTGATAACCTGAAATGGACAGCGGCAAAAGAAGGCAGGTAAGAGACCTCTTACCCAGCTCAGTTCCCCTCTGACAGGCTCACTACACAACCATGTGCTGTGTTACACATGGTTGAAGTAAAGCTAACCAGTCAGAGTTCATATGAACAACCTCTCATTTTGCAAAAGAAGCCCTTGAGAATGAAGACAACTTGTGAACGTTATTCTTTTTGAATCCTTTCCTCAGCAGACAGGGAAAAGAACCATATGGATGGGGTGAACTCTCAGCCAGCACCGCAGCACTCCTTGTTTGCATAAACAGTCATATATGCAACTCAATTTGTTTGCCAGCAAATGTGCAAACACCCAGTTAGTGGGGACGAAACCTGCCTCAGCAGAAGAGAGACTCCTTCCCTCCCCCACACTGTGCATAAGGAGAGCAGATGTCTCCTGCACAGTCATTTTTTGGGTGATGGCAAGCTGAACAAAGCCATGGTGCTGGCCCTTGCTCGTTGGAGACGGCTGGTGAAAGAACAAGGACACGTCAACAACTGAAAGGTTGGAGAAGCTTTAGAGTTACGGAGAAAGCATCAGCTTTTTCAGCCTCAGCAGCAGGGCCCCAACAGCTCTTTTGGCTCCAGTGTCTTAAAAGCTAAAACCCAACCCTAAATTACAGGCAGGGCTCTGGTGAGCTCCTCTGGATACTCAGAGCAGCCTGGAGAGGAATACATGCAAAACACAAAACCTCCACAGTCTCTGTCCTGGACCTCCAAGCATGTATTTAACTATTATTTACCATTTAATCATGTCATTACTCTCTAATTTACTTGACAATGTGTTTTCCTCTCATTAAAACTGTTGCGATGATCGCTGCCAAAATTCTACCCACCAGTGTTCCATGCTCCTTCCCTGTGGCTCCTTCGTGACTATTTGATTAATTTTCATTGATATTCTTCCAACAATAGCATCTAAAATTAACTGGGTCAGTTTTTACATAACTTCCTGAGTCACCAGGCTACGTGTCCTAAATAAATATGTCCATACAGGAGTCAAATGATGATTTACCCTTCCAGCACTAGCAGGGGCTGGGACATTTTACAAAGCTTGTGTTCTATGATAAGAGAACATATTTTATTCTCAGCTCTTAATTCACAACCTTTTATTCAATCAAAACTTCATCTGGATGAAGTCAGAGACTTGACTCAGTTGGCAGGATGTGGCCTTGAGTGAGGGGGAAAAGGAGTTTTTAACGCCAAATACATTCTTATGAAAAACATTTTCCAAATGGCTGAAATTACAAATGTTAGTGTTGAGGTACCTGAATTTAAATGGTACATTTGGCCTCCAGGCATTAGCTGCTGATTTCTTGCTTTTAATGTGGGAGAAGGAGGCTCAGCAACACTTCAAATTACATGTCTCAAGCAGGCATTTAATTTATATTAAATTAGACAGTAATTGTATGTTAAATAAATACCAATAGTCTCAGGAACACATTCTTATGGAATAACAATTTATGGAAT